TAATGATAGTCATAGTTAAAAAAAAAAAAAAAAAGAAAGAAAAGTAAATGTATAAATATCTAGATACGTTTGGTAAGATCTAGTTATTTGGAACCTGTACGCGTGCCTTCACGTGCATGTCCTAAGCTCTGTCTGCTCAGCAATTCCAAATAACTAGAAACTTACCAAACATAGATAAATAGATATTTAACTTGTAAGTTGATATGAAAGACAAAATACTCTTCATCTTTTTATATAAAAAGATATCTTTACCTATATATACATAGAAAGATATATCAATTTATATAGATCTCTTTTAAATAGATATCTATCTATATGGATAGAGATATCTTTTTATATATAAAGATGAAGAGTATTTTGTCTTTCATATCAACTTACAAGTTAAATATCTATTTATCTATGTTTGGTAAGGTCTAGTTATTTGGAATTGCTGAGCACAGACAGAGCTTAGAGCACACACATGCACGCACGCACACACATTCCAAATAACTAGACCTTACCAAATGTATCTAGATATTTATAAATTTACTTTTCTTTTTTTTAACTGTGATTATTATTACAATTATATACACACACACACACACACATAAATGAACAGTATTTTGTCTTTCATATCAACTTACAAGTTTCAACAATGAAAAAAAGAAAAGATAGGGAATCAAGTCAACATGTCTGTAGATCCAAGGGAAAAAAGATTTTTTAGTCTGCTAAAACAACCAATTAAAATACAGAGTAAATCTGTCAGGGTTAAACCCTCTCCTGGAGCTGTCTTAAGTTTTAAAGGTATATATTATTTTTAAGATAGCTTGTGGGTAGAAAAACAAAATCCTTTTAATGAACCAGAAAAGTAGATGTTTTAATATTTACCTAAGTTCCATAGTAACCAATAATGACTGCTCATCAACTTGCTTATAAAAACATAAGCAAGCTGTATTGTTTACCTATTATTCTACCTTGATAGAGAGGTCAGAATTACTTACCCCTGCAGATGGCATGTATTTTGCAGACCTGAGTTTCACGTGAACATGCAAGATTACATCTAAACAATGAAATGCCTGCCTACAAATAACTACAAACATTTCTTTTCAAATAATATATGATAGTAGGATCTAAGTATTTGAAATCTTTTTCATTAAATAAAAACTGCAGGCTGTATCTTTAAAATATTTCCAAGTCAACTTTTTCTGTACAGAAGAAATAAATTTTAAAGAAGGATATTTCTGTAGTTGTAATAATTATCTTCCAAGTAAAAATCTGTGGTACATCTCCATGACTACTACAGAACGTTAATTAGAACCCTCAGACTCCCAGAGGGTTTCCACCTGCCATAGACTAGTTACACACTATAAATTACTATTATATAATTTAAAAGAATTTTGAATAATGCACTGCTATTAGAAATGATACACCATCCCTCTTGCTTCCCATTTGATCCAAATCAACATAGGAAACAGAGGCTAGGGAAAGTAATATTTTCTTTCACAATTTGGTACTTACTGTATTCAACTTTAAACAAAAACTTGTCATCTTTTGTATAACATTTCAAACTGTGCAGAGCCAACATATTAGATCAACAGACTTTTGACCAGTACCCTTAGATGTCTGCCTAGATAGGGAACAAACGTATCCAAACCAAATCAGCTTTTCTGCAGGAAATCCTCCCCTGTATGACTTTTTGAGAACACAAACACATACACACTTGGTAGCGCATCCTGCCAAAAGTTCCTGACCCACAAATGGTGACCAGTTCCAGAATCAGCTGATTCCATACTGCCATGGATAGAATGGTCCCTTGCAGATACTACACTTTTAAATGATGGTCAGTCTCTCCAGAAGGACAATAAAATAGATTCTAGAATACCCCACAGATGAACTGCTGTGCCTGCTAAGGTCAGCAACGACCACTGGGGCCGTGCCTAGACAAGGATGACCATGCATTATGTGGCACCACAAACTCCATGTTCAGTTGTTCTGTGCTGGAAGGGAGCAGCACAGAGGGTTTTTTGACCCTGAATATCAAGGTGTTCAAAAAAAACACAGCAGAGCAAGAAAGCAGAATGGTGCACGTGGTATGCTACCCAAAGCCAGAGCCTGGCTGGTCAGAGCCACACTCCACTGCTGGTCAGGCTCCATGCAGCAGGATTACTGCTGCTGCTGCCCTGGGAGGCCCCCAGGACTCTAGGTAAGGCTGCTGACCCCAGAAGTAACTTGCTATGTGCCAGAGCGCACGTGGCACAGGCATGTTGCGGGGACAATTAGTGGCGGCACAAGGTGCACCACTGCTAGTTGTCCCTGGGGAACCAAATGTCTATGCACATCTGGATGTGGCCTGGAAGTGTAAACAGGAACTTCAAACTCCTCATAAAACTGCTTGTCTTTGTGGCTGAATGGGCAACTGCCCAACACTAGGTTACAGCTCAGTTTGGGAACAGTCAGTCATTTAAAGGGTTGTGATGGAGAGCACTACAAGGGCTGCAGTCTCCTCCAGCTGCTTCCACAGCCAGACAATTCCCATCTCTGGAATCAAACGGACAAAAATAGAGTCATTTTGCATCACCCCCCCCACACACACACACAGATTCCAATGTCCTCTCCCTTGGTCTTTTAACTTGTGAATTCCTCCAAGGAAAGGACAAAAATGAAAAAAAGAAAAAGAATAACCATGTAATATAAAAAACATAATGAAATTTGGGCTAGGTTAAAACAAGCAAATTAATAGAAGGCTTGGTTTAATTACAGGATTGCAGTAGGCTTATACATACTCTTTAGTGAAGATTCCTCGAGGTCCAGATGAAGTTTCGTTGCTTGGGTCAAGTCCATGTGTCTCCAGAATGTTACGAGCAGCAGGACTTAAACGAATCCTAAAATAAAAATATATAATCTAAATAATCATCTTAGATTAACATGTAAAAGTCTCTCAAGAGCTACTATAACCCACATGCTATAATTCAGATCTTCAGTAGCAGCTGGGGAAGGACATTGCAAGTCAGTAAGTAGAATAGGAAGCTCAAAGCTCACTTAACTCCATTGACCCCAGGGTTGCAATATGTATGGCTGGTCTCTACACCAAGTCGGTGCAGGTTTGAGACTGTACTAAATTACATCAGTTTCTGGGGATCTCAAAGGTTCAAAAGACCAAAGCTAGAGATCATCTCAAGTTTAATGATAGGACAGCTATCTCCTCTAGGCCATTTAGAAGAAATGAAGTGATATGTGTCTCAATACCATTGATGTATTTTCTGCTTTACAGAGTCAAATTCAGATTTCCCTTACTTCTCAAATATTATATGCTTGGGATTATATAAGAAATATAAATCACAATTGCTGTTCATTGTTTCAAATCAATTATCTCACATTTGCAATTAGGACCTTCACTAAAACAGGTTGCATTCTTATATTCTTCTATTTGAAAAAAACTCTTGACTTAATCCTTGTGGGTATTCTGAACATCTTCCTACTCTAGCAAGCATGCAGATAATGATCTCAATTAGTGATTTTCACATGGCTTCCCTGGCTGAGTTAGGACAGCCTGAATGCTAGTAGCAAAAGTAAATAAACAAATCTGGCATGCAATTAGGCAGGGAACCATAAAGCCACAGCATTATTTACTGACTAACCTCACTACCAAGAAGTTATATTTCTCTGTCTATATTTAACAAGTCTTATCTCCACACAGCAATCAATCAGTTGGACACAGTACTCTGTCCAGTTATAATAAGGTATACAACCACCAGCACCCCATAGCCAGGATCTTCTTACAATATAAATAAAAAAGCATTATAGATTTATGAAAAAAGACAATTCAAAAGTACTGCTGCAATTTTGTAGACAACTTCTATTAAACTAACTAAATCAATGATTTATAGACAGCCAATACTTGCACTGTCTCACTGTGGTAAACTCATTTTCTATTCAAGATATTTATTCAGATTGTTACCAAGCTGTCCTTACAAATTTGCATTCATTTAATGACAGGCACATTTCTTATGTCAATAGTCTTGAATGTTTCACACCCACCCTACTAAGAAAACAAAAAGAAGTTATTCTGTGACACCATTTCATACAGATCAGAGAAAGTGGGTTATAGTCTACAAGCATATCCACTCTAATGTGGACACACTTATTTTAGTATTGGAACACTTGTTTTTCATCTTAGTTTAAAATCTCTCCCATGTGACATGAGCTAAAGTGGCAAAAGAACTCCAATGAGACTAAAAAAGCCATGCTGAGAATTATGTCTGTGTAACTATATCATTTTAAGTTCACACTATATGTTATAGCAAAGAGACTTGCCTGCATAGCAAGGTCTAAATAAATCAAAGTTGTAAGAAGATCTCAAACAATAATTCAGCTTTAGATACAAGACAGCACAATTCATGAAGATCACCAATTTCATAAGTTACACAAGGGATGAATGCGGCTCCAACTGTGGGACCAATGAAAGCATTGGCTCATGCCGAATATAGAGACTCACTGCAGTTTTCCAGGTGGAGGTTCCATTTTGCTAGGGGCTGGAATCACAGGGCCTCCTGGAGTGGGAGGAGGTACAGATGCTTGTGGAGCCTGAGAAGGTAGATCACCACCAACGTCTGCTGGTATTTCAACTTGTTTCCAGTCCTGCCCTTCTTCTACTAGCAAAGCAATGAGTGTTCCCAGGCGCACATTTTTACTTCCTTCTTCCATCTAAATATAAAAGACAATAAGGATATTACAAGTATGCTATATACAGCATCATCAAATCAAAACACCACCACCCACATCAAGTAGATGTAGATTTTTCAGGCATACTAGTGACATGTCATCAGAAGAGAACAGAAAGTTTTATAGTTTTATTTTTGTTACTATTTAAAAAAAAACTCAAAAAACCACCATCCAGGACCAGAATTAAACAGTTGATACTAAGGCCAAGGTAAAGTGTTAACTTATGCCGAAGTTGCTTTTTCTTTCTAAGAAATTTTCCATCTGTCAGGTGTTTAAACCCTCCAAGTTGGTAAGAGTTCCAGGTGCCCCACAACTCTGCAAAACAACCTAATTTATTAAGTTTTCTATACGGATTTAGGTATCTTATTTTAGGCAACTAAGTTTGAAAAATATGGTTTATATATCTAGGACAAATTATCAGCTTTGGATAATGATAGTGTGTGCAATGCAGTCCTTTTCAATTTTTAATCTTAAATCAAATATCCCAAAGTCCTTGGAAACTTGGATATTGCATACAACAGCAATCAGAGAAACTGGAAAAAAAGGTAAATCGTAACTACAATTCCTCAACATTTCTGACATTAATCTTTGCTTTCTAATCTGATAAATGTTTCAGCATTACACATGTAGAACAGCTGTTCCATCCCACCTGAGAAGTGACAGCAGTTTTGTGGCATATATGTAACCCTTACAAAGTGCGCTGGGAACCCCATGATTTGCACAGATTGGTAAAAATGGTTGAATTCATTTGCTAAAGCAAATCAGACCCAGACCATGTTTTATTGAAAATGCAAGGATAGGTCCTCTGATCAAAGTAATTACAATGTCCTTTAACCTGTCATCAAACAAACCCACAGACTGGAGGTCACCACCATTACAATCCTTTGCACAGGAAATACTCTTAGGGCATCTCTATGATTTGGCAATCCCCAAAATGTCAGAAATGACCCTGGTTTCACAGGTAGCCAGGAAAAATGCTTGGCTGGACTGGTCCCAAACTCAGCTAGACTCAAGATAACAGAAAATGGCTGAAAATTTTTTGGTGTAAAGCTAAATCTTGCTCATATTCCATACTGGAGCAGGATCTGAGTCACCATTTGGAAGTACTGAAATTTTGACTATGATGAACACAACCACCTATTTGCAAAATACAGAACAATTCATAGCACTAGATGCATTATGTAAGCAAGCCTACCTATATAAATCTTATTGGCCTTAGGGTTAGTCCAAAAAGTTTTCCAGGTAACAAGCTTAACTAAACCTAGTTTAACAATATTCATTATAAAATGTGATGTCACAAGGTGGATCTAAATTTACAGCCATTAATCTTCTCTATCTAACAGATAGAGGTAGCTAGTTTTGTTAGTCTGATGTTGGGCAAACAGCAGGGCATGGTGGCACTTTAGAAACTAACAGGTTCAGAGAGGCATAAGCTTCTGCAGGCAACAGCCTACTTTATCAGATACTGGGATTGATAGCACCTGATGAATTGCTCCATCTAGGATTGTCACCGAGATACTGGTTTTGTATACTTTAAGTGGAGGTGTAGTATCATAGTTTAATTATCCTGTCAACCTAGAGAGATAGTCCCGCCAAGTCAAAAGCCAAGACAATAAATTAAATTAAATTAAATTAAATTAAATTAAATTAAATTAAATAGAGAAGTGGCCACTTCTGAACCAGGTAAAGAAAACCACCTGATAAAATATTTCATATTTACACTACTGCCAGTCTAACCCTTTCATACTAAAATTTATGTTAAGGTTACAGTTTTTATAAAATTAAAAGTAGCATTAAGATCTACAGCAGTGGTTCCCAACCTTTTTTTCTCCTGCCCCCCTGCTGGAAGCGGAGTGCGGCAGTGACAGCGACCCAGAGATGGAAGCATGGGAGGTCCCGGTACGTGGCCCAGCTGGTCTTTTCTGTGTAGCGCCACCAGCATTGCCCCGTGACCCTCATCTGAGTCACGATCTGGTGCTGGGAACTACAGCAATATTTTGGGGCATCGTTCTCCCCCATTAAAACAATGGCCATATTTAAACAACGAAAACTTAGTTTCATTTGAGAAAAAAGTGAGAGTACTTTATTGCTATTATACAAAAAACTAGAACTCTTGGTTCCAAAATGATACCTTTTATTAAACCAACTGGGAAATTGCAAAAAAACTGTCCTTTTCTGCAAGCTTTCAGGATCAAAGGCCCCTTGTCAGACTCTGGGAAAATTATAGATGGTACAAGATGGTAAAAAGTCCC